AGGCCCCTGAAAGGGGGAGGGGCAGCAAGACTAATATAAAACATGGTTTCTACACATCTGCATTCACTTAAATACAGGTGGTTGCTCTGTACATGCAGTGGTGACGAGTATACTGAAATTTTGATGACATTGAAGTGTATGAGAATGCATTGCCCAGTTTGCTTTGAAAAAACATGCAGACTACATGACAGATGAAAATCAGCATATGAACAAACAGTGCAAGAGGCAGGCTTTCATACCTTTTTCTATACAGAACTGTAATATTTATTGTAATTGAATCAGCCATACATTGCCAGAGAAACATAGGGAACCAAATATCTCTCAAATATAATGAAAGTGCAGAAAATTAAAAAAAAATATTTGCCATTATTGTACTTTTACTGCAAAGGACTGGAAATAGTATTGGTGGGATTTTATGGCTCAGGTGCCAGAATAACTTAACTGGTCTCTGGTATTGTGCAGCTGGGCTTGGGGATGAGCTGAGCTGAATTTATCAGGCAGCAAAAGGTGGTGGGCCAAGCCTGGTCTTGTGGAAATTTTCCACAAAACAAGTGGTACAGAGCCAGAGAATCAACACCTTTCTTCTAACCAGCATGTTGTGCAATATATATATACAGTAGATGCTAGTGTACATCAACAACACATTCCACATTTTAATAGGAAGTTATATTTATTAGCAGAATTATAAAATCCTGGTTTTAAGGATGATTATATCTTTAACAATAAGGATTGTTAAATCTTTTTGGTTTTTTTGAAAAACAAATGCAACAAGCAGAGTTATCAGAAAATGGAAAGAATAGATAATATTATATAAGGTACATTACACAAACATACGAAATGCAAAAGAAAACCCAAGAATATATTATATAATCAAGCTATAGATGAAGTGAGGATAACTTTGGAATTAAAGAATCACTATTTACATGAGGTGCTTCATACTTAACTAATCATATTAACTTTATAGAATGTGGGGAAAAACCCTACAGCAAATATGAGCACCCTTGCCCCTCTTCCCAAACAGTTTCCCTGTTCATTAAAATAATATTGATGAATGAGAGCCACATCTTGGAGAATGAAGGGCTGTCACCATGGTTACACTGAGATGTAAACACTAAACACTAGGCCTAACAAGTGGAACCTTATAAATACCTTTGGCATTTAGACGCTACTTGAACCTATTTAAATAGCCACATGGCTGTCAGTTATCCTTCTTAGGAGTTTCCATGCCTTGTAGGAGCTCAAGGATGGTGTGCTACTAAGAACGATGCCATAAATAGCTATATTTGCTGTTGTAGCTGCAAACGTCAAAGGAAAACTACGTCATAGCCTTTAAAGTAGTGAGCCTTACGTTTGTCAAAATTTGAAACTGCAAACACTGTAATGAAAAATATATATAGCTCATGTAAGCTATAAATCCAATAGTATTTGCTCAGAGGACAGTCAAACACTTGGTTCAGCTTTTCTATCTGTGCAGACCTGAAAACACATAATGAGATTTATTTATTTATTTATTTATTTATTTATTTATTTATTTATTTATTTATTTATAAAAACCCAGGTAGTGCGTGCACTATTCTGGGCACAACAAACATCGAGTTAAAATAATTATCAGTTAATTAAGCTTCATAATATGTTTATAAGAACCTATTAATAAAACGTTTCTTTGATTCTTTATCCATCTGTTTTCACTTATGTTTTTAAATGTTGGTCTTATTGTAATTTTAAAAACTTAGGTCAATTGAATTATATTTTCCTGTTTTGAACTGTTCTGGAAACTATTTCTGCCTGAAATGTAATACATAAATATCCTGGACAAACAAAAAGTGGAAGCAATCTTGCTGAACACAGTGGAAGATTCTTATGGGTTGACGTGTAATTTCTAAAATGGTATCTATGAATATAAAAAGCATCCATATAGCACTGCTATCCTTCCCAGCATTGGGTGAAATCAGATGGGGATTTAGCCCATGCTTTGGTTCACTGGAGATACAGTCGAGTTTGCTCCTTTTTCCGGCGATCACACAACATAATCACTGAACTGAACCAGGTCATTCTTTGAGTGTTCCTACCCACATCTTTCTGGGTTCCTGTGAGGAATTTCTACTTTTTTGTGTGTGCATAGGATCACTCCATTTTGGCTTGTTTCCAGTGAATGGGATCCCAAAACTGAGTATTCAGATGTGGAGATACAGTCGAGTTTGCTCCTTTTTCCGGCGATCACACAACATAATCACTGAACTGAACCAGGTCATTCTTTGAGTGTTCCTACCCACATCTTTCTGGGTTCCTGTGAGGAATTTCTACTTTTTTGTGTGTGCATAGGATCACTCCATTTTGGCTTGTTTCCAGTGAATGGGATCCCAAAACTGAGTATTCAGATGCCAAGGCTCCTTACACTGTTAATTTTCCATATCATGAAGTGGCTTAAGAAGACAGCCACTGGATCACTCCATTTTGGCTTGTTTCCAGTGGATAGGATCCCTGGAAATGAACAAAACTGAGTATTCAGATACCAAGGCTCCTTACACTGTTAATTTTCCATATCATGAAGTGGTTTAAGAAGACAGCCACTAGCCACTTCATGATATTGGCAAATTAAACACGTCCTCTGCTCTGTGGAACGGCAGAGGAAGTTGAATTTATTTTTGGACTATATTAGGGCAGTGCAGATAGGCTGCATCACTTATAAACATTTTTTACATTGAAAACTTCTTCCTGAAAGTGAGAGGAGACAGGCAGAAGCAACAAGGGGGATTTTTCCTCCCTTTTCCTTCAGACTTGTCTTAGAAGTCAAGTTGAGAACCTGCTCACAACTGAATCCAGTGCAGCTGAATCTAACAGACAGACAGACAGACAGACAGACAGACAGACAGACAGACAGACAGACAGACAGATAGATAGATAGATAGATAGATAGATAGATAGATAGATAGATAGATAGATAGATAGATATGTTTTACTACTAATCAATACAGAAAAATTGCTGTGGGGTTGGGGAAGATCTCTATAAATGGTCTGACAACTCAGGGCTACCCCAAGATATTTTTGTGCCTGGGGCAAATAGAGAATGCCCCATTATTTCATCTACCACAAACAACCAGATCAGCAGGTAGGCCTTAGCAGGACACTGGTGATGGAACAGCATCAGGACGTCACCAGATGTGAAGGATGGTCAGCTAGCTTAGTTGAGTGCAGATCAGGCTACCTGAGATGCACAGCTTTGGTTTTTTTACCATAGGAAAACGGCTAGCCCCACACTTTGTAGCACCTTTTTTGCTTGAGGTGATCACACCCACACCCACCTATTGCCCCCACCCTGACCTAATGGGAGGACTTTTCCCCTATCTGAGCTAAAACTTGCTAAAGGTGAAGTACTAGGTTTGTAATGTGAGTGTTAACTGGCACTATGTTCAATACACATCAGATGGGATTTAAGAAAAGAGGCTTTACTGTGGTATGATTAATGTAACACTTCCTTAAATACCCTTGAAAACCTTACAATAAAAATGTGAAAGAGTAGACACTCCTTCGGATCTAACTAATTGACCATATTGTTGCTCACTCAGAGAGTCACAGTGACTAATAACAAAAAAACCCCTGAAAACATGTAATATAAGTAATAAATTTACATTGTACTGTATTTAAAATGGAAAAAAGTCTTTAAATGGAAGAACTGTGTTATTATGTGACACTGTGTCATAAAAGTGCTAGCTGGCTGGATAGCTCAGTGGTCTGAGGTTGTCTTCTCCACTGTTCCTCCTGGAGGCAGAGGCAGTCTATGTGGCCTTGGCAATCAGCAGTCCCAGGGCGCTCCCAGAAGAAGGGAATGGTAATCCACTTCGGAGGACTCTCTACCTAGAAAACCTTGGAAAGGCTTTCTCTAGTTTTGCTGAAACAAATCACATAGCCCATTCCAACATATGTGTATGCAGAAGTAAATTCTAATTAAGCTCAATAGGTTAGCTCCAGACTTGATCATGCTTATAGTACATCCACTTAAATCCATGTAAAAAGCTATCCACAGTTGACTTATATCCCATTCATTTCAGGCAGCCTACTGTAAGCATGACTACATCCCAATCTAACCAATAAAACTTCGAGCAGACGCATGTCAGAGTAAATCTATGAGTAAACCCTGATCAGAATTCATTTCAATAAAAGCAGAAAATCCAAAATGCATATCAGGATTGTAGTCTAAACTATACTACTGCCTTCTCTGAGAGAGACACTGAGGCTCACTAAGTGCAGCCTATGAACATTTGTGCAGAGATTTCAGCATGTGATGCATTTTATATCTTTGTGCTTCTACCATAGAGATCTGAGGCTTAGTATCACCCAGTTCATGGAGAGGAAAGCATGTCCAGCCATCAAGTGGCTTCCCAAGATGCTTCAGGATACTCAAGATATACGTATCACTGATAATGAAGAGGATTTGGGCATGTGCATGAGAATGCACGTGCTTGTTTGTGAAGTGCTTATCTACACATCGATGAGGAGGGAAGCAGGCTTAAGAATTCCCCGCTTTGCACGTCAATGGAAATCCTGCATATGAACAAAGCATAAAGAGAAAAACCTTATAAAAGGAAGTGAGAATAAATATGTATATATACACACCCTCAAACGTGTGTCATTTTTAAACTCTTGAGTGATGTATAGATTGCAGTGTACATTTATCATGCTAGAATGTATCCTTTTGGATTTATGAGCTAAGAGCGCTCAAGGGTTTAGTGTCCTGACATCTCTTTAATTAGCAGCCTGCTAGATCTTTTGCTAAGAACACACTAAGCCAGTCGACTGCTGTCATACCTCAAGGGTTTTAGAAGGTTGGAAAGCCACAGAGGAAGCCTGCAGGGCGATTCCTATGGGAGATACAGAATGCACAAGGTACCATTTCCCCAGTAACAGGAAAGGAAAACGTTGGGGTGCCATCGCGGCCAGTGCAACGGTAATGCAGGTTTGAAAAGGAAAAGGAAAAACTTGCCAAGGCGGAGCCAAGCAGAATGGGTGAGATCAATAAAGCAGACGTTGAGAAATACCTGGAGAACAACCCACAATTTGCCAAGGAGTATTATGACCGAAAACTGCGCCTCGAAGCTGTGGGAAGCGTCTTCAAAGTCAGCCCTGGGGATGTGAAGGATGGCGTCTCCTTCACGGAGATGACAAAGCTTGAGGAATGTCAGCTGCTTTTGGAGTTGTTGTTGGAAATCCAGCAAGAAACCACCGATATGGAGAAGATTGTGCATAAAGTCCTGCAGAGGTTGGCCCAGCTGTTGGCAGCCGATCGGTGTAGTATGTTTATTTACCGATCTCGCAATGGTATTCCAGAGGTAGCTAGTCGGCTCCTTGATGTCACAGCTAACTCCAAATATGAAAACAACCTGGTGCCTCCTGAGAAAGAAGTTGTTTTTCCTCTGGACATTGGGATAGTGGGTTGGGTTGCTCATACCAAGAAACTATTTAACATTCCAGATGTAAAAAAGGTAAGTGGTGAGCTTTTCTGTGTCTGGGAATGGGTAAAGTCCTTTCTCCAGATATGGAGTATGGGTGTAGTCCATCCTTTAAACCATTTAATGAAGTGCTGACAGGATTGTTTCTTCTACATATGGGTATATTGCTGGAAATGAAGAAGGGTGGTGGGAATATAGGAGAACACATAAATATGAATGATTTAAACCAAGTGCACTAAATCAACAAATTCCCAGATTCTGTACTTATCTTGTATGAATATTGGTGCAAACCTGGGGACAGAGTGTCCAAACAGTAGTGAGTGTTCAAATGTTCATAGGCTAAATATCAATTTTTAATTCTATTTGCTCATTGTTACAGTTATGCTATAAGCATAGAAAGTAAACAGCAACTCCTGTAAATTTCCATGTGGCAGGAAAAATCTGCAAGGCAGATTGCATTTGGGTAAGGCAGAGTAAGGACTGTGTGGCCTGTGGACTACATGAAGCCCTCAGAGCCAATTTTGAAAAATGGTATGTGTGTGTGTGTTATTCCCTTCAGCATTTCAAATGGCAAAATTGGCTACTATGGGATGCAAGAGTGCTTTTTGGACAACCTCCTTTTTCTGACAAACCTATTTTCCATTTATAAAAACCCTTGTAACAATCTTTACAATGTACAGTATAACCACTGCATTAAATAATTTTTTTTAAAAAATGCAGATTAGCTCCTTTGTTTCTACCCCTTATTCTCAGGCTACCAAGATACCTGAAAATGGCACTTAGCCCCCAGAGATCACTGATTGAAGTATATAGGATGAAATACAGTATTTGGATCAGATCTAGGTTAAGGGCACAACTATACTAGCCCTTTTGGTATGGTCTGGTGCTATCCTGTCTAAATAAAGTTGCTTGAGGTTGGGAGGAGCAGCAATATGCCATTTGGCAGAATCTTTATGTCCAAAGGCCATATCAACCTCAAGCGACCTTCTAGCTCCTTCTGCTGTCAAATGAAGATTTCCCCTACTCCTCTGTTGAGGGGGGAGCAAAATTATGGATTTTTGGCAGTGCTAAACTGCTGATGCACTGAAACACTTAGATTATTATTTTCTCTTTGCCTTTTGTGTAGTGCTGATTGAAAAACTACGTGCAGCGGTGGTTTCAATCAGCATCTCATGCTAAGATTTTTTTAAAATTAATCTAAGTGATTCAGCACAACAGCAATGGTCTAGTAGAGTGAAAAACATTTGCTTTTACAGAGAAGCAAGAAAAGCATTGAATCTGCCAATATCCTGAAGTGGTTTACTTATTAAGCCACTTCATGATACCACAACTTGACAACTGCAAGACTTGATTTCAGTTCATTCTCAGCCATCACACACGCTGGAAACAGATTAAACTACAGTATACCAACCCACACAAAAATGTAGTGCTATGGGGGCAAATTGGTATATTCTAGCAATTATGTTGTATTGTCACCGGGAAAAAAGAGTGAATCAACCTGACCTCATTATGCATCAAAATAGCAAGACAAATAAATGCCCATCGGAATCAGCACCAAGTCACGAGTCCTATTGAATTTAATGGCATTTAAATCATTCATTGCAAGCCTGGCTATTTTATTTAAATGAGACTAAAGCACAAGTAAATTAATGTGGGTCCAATCCTCTGTCTGTCTTTAGCATTATATTACCAATAGCACAGTATCCCCTTGCTGGTATCTCTATTTGTTCATGAGGTTCAGGGAGGCAAGAGAGATGGGCCTATGTCTTAATAACCAAATCCAACTTCAGATTTTAAAACACTTCCATTAGATGTGCTTGTTCGGCTTCAGAGCAGTGGGTTCTTTTTACTTTCTTCCATTGGTTCAGTGGCCTTTGAGGTTTCCCGGCCATCCTGTCACATAAAATAAGTTTGCTAAAAATATTCAAGCATGCCATGTGAATAGAAACAGCATCCTGATGAAACTAGGCAAGACACTGAAACTGTGCATCTATAAGAAAAAAAATACATTGTTCATTTATTCTAATGCAGTCTTGCCTCATTCCTCATTTGAGGATGGCGGCTTTGTTTTGTTTTGTTGTGAGTTGGTCAGCTGGGAAATAGTATGGCTTTGTTTGCATAACTGGTGACTCAAACATGCAGTACTGAAAGATCTGCATGCATAGAAAGATAATGTTTTACAAGGAGTAAATACACATTTGCCTTAATGTGTGATCTGGCCCAGATTTGTAGACAATTTCAAAAGGAGCTTTAACTTGTTTATTTCTTACCTTGTGTGCCACTGATTTATACAATAGAATGTAAACATCTGATAGCCAATCAATTTGTTCTGCACAAGAATAAAGGAATTTTCACATGAGACTTAAACCTGCTTTGCCTCAACTTTATGCCAGTGGGTAATGCAAGTCTGAATGACAAATGTCTCTCCCAATTTCTGTCCTGCTGGTGAGGATGTCAAAGCCTCAATGTAAGAAAACATCTAGAGCTTCAAAATGTTACTTTTAGGGCTACAACTTCCATAATGTCCTCAACCACTTAGGGGATTCTGGGAAGGGTAGTTCAAAAAAAAGGAATGTCTCTAAATCCTGTGCACCTCTTGTGAACTACCAAACAGAATGCAATCCCTTACTGGTTCTGTTCTCTTCTTGGAATTGCAAGATCTGGCTGTTTCTCAACTGTCAATCAGAAGAAACCATGTATGATTCACAAAGAATTCTGCAAGGTGAAGAAAAAAATGATGAAATGATTGAAGTGTTCTGACTTCCACTGTGACAGTCAACCTTTTGTTCTAGGGAAAATTTGAACAACAGCCCCAAGTTAACCAAAAGTAACATAGAGTTTTGTGTAATCTTAAGAATGAACATCTTTTATTTGGTGTATGTTTCTGTGAAGTGCTGCCCACTTCATCGTGTGTGTGTGTGTGTGTGTGTGTGTGTGTGTGTGTGTGTGTGTGTGTGAGAGAGAGAGAGAGAGAGAGAGAGTTTATATATTTGTGTTTATATATTTATATATATAATAGGCTGAACTAGATGATACAGTTATCACGACATTAGAAGCAGAGCTCTCTTAAGAGGTGAAAGACCGTTTCTTCTAAAGCAAGCTTGCCTCAGTCTGCATTTTGCAAATTCATGGGGTTTGGTTTAGTAATTGGCCATCAGGAGATAAACATGGCTTCTCCTGTGTGTCTGATATCTCTGTATCAGTTCAGGTAGGTTTTTTAAAAAAATTACATATGAAGTGAAAATATAGTAGTAAATATGAATTTGTCTTAATTTGTAATCTGGCTTTCAATCTTATATATTGTTAAAACAATCTTGATATAGAAAACATAAGCTTATGAAAAACTTCATAACAATTATATCTTCCTGTGACCTTTCCCAAGCAGAACCAAGCCATTACCATATAGGAAATTCAGTCACTTCAAGAATAATGAATGGTTGTGCAGTGTAGTGGGCAGTATATCAGACTAGGACTCAGGAGGCTTTGGTTCAAATCCTGGGTGTTCATGGCAGTGGTACAACTATCCCTTCAATATCTCATGAACCTTGAAAATCCTTGTACAGTCACCATAAATCAAACCTTGAAAATCCTAATACAGTCACCATAAATCAAAACTGACTTGATAGTAGATCACATACATTTTGTTATTGTTGATTATGATGACTGTGTGTCATCGAGTCAATTCTGATTTATGGTCACCCTTTTCAGGGTTTTCCAGTTAGAGAATACTCAGGTTTCCCTTCTTCTGGGGACACCCTGGGACTATTTAGCTGTGCCCAAGGCCACACAGGTTGGCTCTTCTTCAGCAGGCACAGTGAGGAATTGAACTCCTAACCTCTGGCTCCACAGCCAGGTAGCTAAAACACTGAGCTAGCCAGCCAGCTACAAAAAATAATAGTCAGGCTAAAATTGTTAGAAAAATCTCCTCCTGAATAATCTGTTTACTCTATTTTGTAAAATAAATTTCATATTACAGCTTCATCTAAACCAACATGAATTTGACACAACTCCGGGAGGCAGTGGAAGATAGGAGGGCCTGGCGTGCTCTGGTTCATGGGGTCACGAAGAGTCGGACACAACTAAACGACTAAACGACAATGACGATATATATATAAATGCAACAAGTCCTAAATATATAATTTAGGACTTGTTACATTTATATATATATTTAATTAGAATTAGTAGGATTTAAAACTACTTTGCTTTGAGTAGTTCTGTCTCACCATTCTTTGTGCACCAGGAAGAATGTTAGGTGTGTGTTTTGTGTAAATTGTATTTGTTAGCACTACACTCACACAACATTTTAAAAACTTTTTTCCTTAAACAAATATTGCTTTGGTAAACCAAAATCATTGCTGACAATACATGTGCTATCCAGAAAAATAAAACAGGGAAATGCTAGTAAATGACACTTTCCAGAAAATTAAAAATTTTAAATAGGGTAATAGCTTCCATTATACTTCTTTCATGAAATCTTTCTTGAGAAGGTCATTCTTATCTTCTTTCACATCAGTGCATTTTAAAGGGCCACCAATCAGTTTAGCTCACCTGGTTTCCTTTTCTTAAATGGGGAGTTTACAACTAGCCATCCTTAAGCCCACTCACTGCCTGTTTCCAGGGACGAGATGGTAGAACAGTGTCACTGAAGCTACCAACTTGAATTTGACCAAACTCTGGGAGGCAGTGGAAAACAGGAGGGCCTGGCGTGCTCCGGTCCATGGGATCACGAAGAGCTGGACACAACTTAACGAGTAAAAAAAAAACGACAACAATAGCTTCCATGTATATAAATAGTCACGGTTGTGATTTAAATCTGTGCCACCCACAGGAATTCTTAAAAATCTAGAGTTGAACGCCAACCCCACTGTTTTTCACTTGGGGAAATTTTGTTTAGCATCGGGCATTTAAGAGCACTGTCTTATGTTCTACCATTCATTGCTAGCTTTATTTTGCAAGTTTGAAAAACAAACGTGGAAGGTCCCGCCTCATCAAAGACCTTGTTCTACAGTCAAAACTCTGTTTGACGTCACTGG